ACATAAAGCTCACGGACAATGTTATCAATGCAATGTCTGATACTGACAGTTTAAAACCTTATTTTACATTCCTTGACTTATACAAAGCTAAATAATATGTTTTTGAATTTATCTTGCGTCCTTACAGTTATATGTTTACTGTTGTGGTTTTTTTGGTGGGGATATATTTTGCCTTAGTATACTTGTGTGTAAAGGCAGCACATCAGTACGAATTAAACTCTTGTTCGTTACTCACGTTACAAAATGTGTCGATGTGCTGCCTAATTTTTAATTTTTAATTTTTAATTTTCATTTTGGTGAGTTTTTACTGTTTATTATAAGTTTGTTTTCTTTACTTTTTCTCTATCCTTTTTCTTATTTTTCATCTATTATTTATTTATTTGTAAACAGTTGCCACTGATGAAGATCAAAACTTGTGATCGAAACGTTTGGCACTTGAATAAATTTTGCTGATTCACACCAACATCCTGTGTTTTGCCTCGTATTGGCCCTTTTCTATTTTGATCAAAATTATAATTATAATACTCGTTAGTGATAGTGAGTATGATATCAATTCATTGTGATCTGTAAGAGAAAAATATATTATTTTATATACAACCATCAAGTGTAGTGACTGTTATACTTACCCGTGGTACTGTGCATCCATCTATCGTTGATCCTGTGAAATTCTGGTGCGTCCGGGTAATCCTGATGGTCCGTGGCAGCATTTGTTGTTCATCCGGGGAGGGATCAGCATCCGGAACAGAAAAAGAACAGTGAATCCTTGTTCTTTGGAAGTTAAAAGAACTGGCGACTGTATTATTCTTTGGAAATACCGTAAGTAAACAACAATCATCCACCTAACCTAACCCCAGTCACAACCTAACCTAACCTAACTTTGTGACCGGGGCTAGTAAGTAAATGGCCGGTACTTACAGGTCTGCTTCTTGAACAAACGGTCGCCAGGTGTTTTTTCGATGTAATTCTTCCAAACACCATAGGAATATCTGGTATTATCCTTCAAGAAAGCCAGGACAAGGATCGGGTTCACTTAAATAACTACTTTCTTTACGCACAATATACATATATTTACCAATATAAAATATGTTTCACAGATTACATTAACTTGTGCACTTTTCACTGTGCTACGTATAACGTTATATTTATCGCGAATAACTAATTACGTTTCGCAAAAGAACCCGTTCTCTCGATCGTCGTGCATTCGCGTGTTCACTTGTTGAATGCTCGAGAGGAACTCCCTGTTCCTCCTTGCTCGCTTTTCTTTATTCCTTAGAGTGCAACTAGTGCTGCTCCTCCACTCGTTCAAACTAAGAAGAGAACCCTAGGGATTTAAGGCTCGTTCCTATAAGTTCCTAAACCGGTGACTTAAGATGTGTAACTTGATGCATGTGTCTAGGGAATGATTGTGGGATGGATGACATACAAATGGCCGCTTATGAGGGTATGTTTGTGTGTGTGTGGTATGACCAGAACATGTGGTTTAACGAACAATTGTGACACGGACGAAGTCTGTGTGTGTCTCTGACGCGTGAATGTGTGCTTATGTACGAGTTTGACCTTATATGTATGTGTGAGTAGATGTTGAGATTAAGAAGTATGAATGTGGTATTTCGAATGTGTGTGAGTGTGTGTGTGCATGGTGTGAGTATGAGATGTTAATGTACGACTACGGGTGTATGAGGTGTGAAAGTTTGTGTGTTCACTAAAGAGTGAACGTGCATCGAATGAATGAAATATGAGTGTAGCATGTGATTGTCGTGTGAATGTTTGCTTAACTGTGTGTTCGTGGTTGTATAGAGTACAAACGCAAAACTGTGACTTAAGGGATGATTGTTGTTTGAATGTGTAGCGTGTCATGTCGTAGTGTGACTGGTGTATGTATTTGCTCTTAAGCGTGTGAGTGATTAATATTTGTATACACACGTGTGTGTGTGTGAGTAACCAGTCTAGGAACGACGTTGGCACGTGACAAACCTTTTAATCGCTGACCTTTTTCTTTTTCAGGGTTACACCTTAGACTAGATAAGTATACCTGTATACGCATATAAACTACGCACTAACGTACAATAAAATTAAAAACAACAAAACTTCCTAATGACCCCTTTTTCTTTTTCAGAGTATCCTTACATGTACAATCCCACACTCTTAGACTACACGAAACTTTGCTTTACATAAAAATATACCATAACAGAACGTACATCAAGAACTTATCCTTAACGGACGTCCACCCGCCGGTGGTTCTATTTTGGGTAAGTATACTAAAAAACTACAGTAACTTTTGTTAATAATTAAAACAAAGCGTAAACATTTGAAAAAATAAAACTCATTTACCTAAGGAACAACTACATACTAATTCACATCCTTTGATCGGAGTATAACTATAGTTCTAAGGCCTAGCCTTAATTCGAAAGAGTGTTCATCATTCCGCCAGAAAGTGCTTGGCCCAACTAATATACTGGTGTACATTCCTCTCGCGTTCCCAAGCTGCCTGTGCCCTTAATAGTATGCTCCTGTCGTCCGAGGTTCTCTGGGCAATCTTTTTTTCCGTTGCTCCGCTTCCGGAAGGATTCTTCTCCCTGGATACCCTGATCCTCGGAGGAAAGAATCAGAGTTATGTGGGACTCCCTCATTCTTCCCACAGGAAGAAGGGGTATACCCACTAAAACCACCACGGTGTGCCTACTCAGCCCGTCTGAGGAAGGGACCCGGAACCCCTAAGGACTCTGCCGGGACCCGCTCTCGGGCTCTTGTAACTACTGGGAGGGGAGAACTTACTGCGTTCTCCCCTCTGTCATTCCCTACTTTGACGACGCGGGACACACGCCGGCTTCCTTCACACTCCCATCGGGACCGCGTGCAGAACAGGTCGGGGCCCCCACCTCGACCTGTCACGGTCTCCGCGGCAAGATCTCCCCTGAGTGGACGGTTCCACCCAAGAGCTGCCGCGCTCCTACTTCACACTTTAAAGTGTCCCTTTCTGAAGGGCGGCGGGCTACTCAGGGGACCCGTCTCCCCCACGAGTCCGCCGCTCTGACTCTTCTCTCTCACTATAGTGAAGGAAGGAAATTAATGTCACTGAGAGGGAGGTTTTTGACCCCAAGGACGAGCGCGGGAAATGATCGCCCTGTCGCCCGCTCGCGCCCGCCTCTGAGGCCTCTCTTGAGGGAGAGGAGCTCGCTCCCTCTCCTTCCTCGCAGCCTCCTTCTGTTCTATTACCGTGGAGCAAAAGGAGACTACGGCTCCCCACTCGCCTTCGTCCCTGGAGGCCAGCGCCC